GTGTGTGTGTGTGTGTGTGTGTGTGTGTGTGTGTGTGTGTGTGCACTACTTTCAAAGAGCAAAGGCAACAGACTGTTCTCTGCCTCTTCCCTAGAAAAGCTGCAGCAGTAAGAACACCTGATGACTATCACAAAGAGGGAGAGTTACTTCTAAGACTAAGGACAACACCTTAGGCGGAGAGACCTCTATGGGAGGACACGTGGCACAGATCATGAAAACATGGAAACTCGATATCATGAGTATGCAGAAGCAAAATATCCGTTCAGGTCTTTCTGCCCCATTCTCCCCTTGCTCTCGGTTTTTTCTTTTCTTGTGCCTCTCACTCTTTTTACAGAGTCCTAAACTCAAGTGTCTACTATTTGAATATGAACTTTCTGTTTATTTCTACAGTCCTGAGGTTCTCTGGGTTTCCATAGATTCCCGTGTTTTATTGTTGTTACTAGCTATAAGAAAATGACTTTTCCATATTCAGTCAGAGCCATTAAGTTTAAGAGTTACTCATTAGTTTTAACAACCTAAAACTGAGCAGAAATTGGAGCAAATGTAGCTTCCATGACTTTTTTGTCTCACACTATTATTTCATCTTCATCTATTTTTTTCAAGTTGGGGAATCCTAATTTTTGACATTTATCTGTATATAATAAGTAGACTTGATTATTCTACTTTCTCTTTTCATATCAAAGATATACTCATTGTAGCTTCTTTTTTTTTTTTTACCCTTTTATAGTTTTGAGAATAGGTCTCATGTAGCCCAGGTAACCCAGGCTGGCCTCAGATTTGTCATGTAGCCAAAGAGAATCTTGCATTTCTGATCCCTTTGACTTCATCTGCGGGGTGTTGGGATTATAGGCATGTACCATCACTCCTGGCTTATGTGGCACTGGGGATTAAACCCAGAGCCTCAAGCATGATTAAGAGAACATTCTACCAACTCAACCATACCCCCAGGCTGCATTATGATATTTGTGACCCTTTCTGAAGGTACTTGAACCAATTTTGAGGCAAGCCTGTACCAAGACATTTGACTAGTGCAGTAATTAAATCAGTCATAGTCACTATTGAACACTCAGCCTATGTTTAACAATGTCTTATGAACTTATTTAATGCTCTGTCTTCTATAAGATTGAGTGTTGATTTGCTCGTCTTTTTGGATGATGGAGGTCAGGCAGGTGGGAGAATCTTGGAGTCCAGTAGCTCTCAGGATCAGACTTCTGGGCAAATAGGATATAACAACTGTGTAATGAATTTCCCATGTGCTAATTTTATTTCTCCAGTTTTTAAGAATCATCTTGCATTTTAACTGGGCTGTGTCTTTTTTATATCTTTTATACCTGTACTATAATTGGTGACAATAGTATTTTGTTGTAAATAGTATTTATTTACTTCTGCTTGAGCACAGGAAAGATGATTCATTCAAACTGGAGACAAATGATTTCTTTAAGAATTTTAAAGCCTCAGTAAGTGACTTTCTTTGAGAATTTCCTTAACTTCCTGTGCTTCATACATGGTTTTTGTCAAATATTCAGGATGAATTTAGAGGTGGAAAAATCAGCGTTGAAAATACTTACAAACTGCTTGAAAAACTTAATATTCCATGCAGCTTTTCTCATGTGAAGAATGTTTTTAAGGTGAGATGATACCCTCCCCCTGCCTGTCACAACCTATGAAGGATTCACTGCAGTGTAAGTAGATATTTGTAGACATTTGGGTGCTTCCTTAGAAAATACACACGGGGCTGGAGCGATGGCTCACTAGTTAAATGCACTTCCTGCTCTCGTAGAGGACCTGTGTCCAGCTCCAGCATGCACACATTGCCTCACACCTGCCTGGAACTAGGGTTCTAATGCCTTCTTCTGACATAGTTGGGCTCCTTTAAGTATGTGGCTGTCAAGTAAAGTCTGATGACTTGAGTTCTCTTTCTGAAACCCTCATCGTGGGAGGAGAGAACTTCACTCTGGCTTGTCCTCTGACCTTAACATGTGCTGTGATACATACCCATCTATGTAAATGTATGAATGCACTTTAAAAAAAATAGAGCCAAAATATGTTTAGAATACATTTTAAAAAGCCTTAACCTATGATCCCATGACCTTGAGAACATTAGAAACAATAGTGCTGACCGTGGTAAACTTACCTATGAGCCTTCTGCTACTTTGTTGTGTTATGCTAAACTGACATTCAAAGGTTGATTGAGTAAAAAGGTAAGGAATGTGTATTGGATGAGTGAATTTTGTGTATGTCTTCAGATTAATCATCTTGAACATTTAAGTCTTTGAGGCATATGCATGTGTGTACTGTGTGCATAGAAGTGTGTATGCATGTTTGCATGTGTGGGCATGCACATAGTAGCCAGAGGTTGACATCAGGTATCTTCTTGATTATTCACCCATTTATTTACCAGTGCAGCATCTCTCACTGAACCCGAGCTTGCAAATTCTACGAGGTTAACTAATCAGCTTGCCTGGAGGAACCCGGTCTCTGCTTCCCGAGAGTTGGGATAATAAGTGGGCTGTCACCCGCTCCCAGCTTTCCGGGTGGGTGCTGGCCCTTTGAATCCCAGTCCTCACACTTGCAGGGCAAGGGCTTTGTCTATTGAGTTCTCTTTCCAGGCCAGAGCATCCAACTCTCATCATACTCTAATTGCTAAATTTTTCTATCTATATGGGTGCATTTCTGTCGAATTAAGTCTAATGAAATAAAGCTGACTTGTATAAACTAAAATACTGCAATGTCTCAAAGTATAGAGATTTTAGGCTTAGCTACTGTTTTTGAAAACCAAAACTTTCCTAAACAAATTCTTAGTCTGTGTAGTGGGAATATTAATCCCACAGGATTGTTCTAAGTCATAAAAAAGATATTATTTATGGATATACCTAGTATGTGCACAAAGTATGGTCTTAGTAAGCAGCGAATGAAGTTTCATTAGGAATTATTCAAAATACATTGATTTCCTAAGGAGCTGACATAGATTACAGCATAAATTTATTTTCTTACAAGGTGACTTTTTATTATAAATTTGGGTAAAAAGCATATAAGTTTATGATCTTGGAGACATATTCCGAAGTTCTTTCTAAAGATGAATTATTGGGTCATGGCTTGAGCAACAATTCATTGAACTTCTTTTTATTATACTTTTATAAAAAGATTTATTGCTTTGTCTTGTAATGGTCTTTAATTTATTGCATTATAATATTTTATAAGTAGTATTACATGTGACCTCAATACATGTACCCAGTTTTCGATCATACCTTTGCTTGCCAGTCAAGTATGAAATTGTATCCTTTTGAATATCAAGAATTTGTTACTACAGGACTTAGGTCTTCATAGACCCAGGCAATTAGCAACCACTGTTAAATACATCACTCCCTTAGAAAGTCTGCACTGTGGGGAAGGAGGGAAGCACTTTCTCTCAGGAGAAAGGAATACTGAACTTCCTCTGAGTAGACGGTGATGAATGTCCCAGTAAACCTGGACTGTGAGACAGAAGGGGAAGCAGTGTGTAGAGAATGCACAGCAGGAGTATTTAGTGAATACAAAATAATCAAATGTGGCTGGAGAAGGATGCCTAGGGGGGCTAGGGAGAAAAGCGGCTTAGGATCAGAAGGCAGAAAGTTTTTCTTTCTTGTCTTTGTTTTTCTCTTTCTCTTCTTCTCTTCCCTTTATTTCTCGCCCTTTCTTTCCCTCCCTGAAATCCCCCTCCTCCTTTTCTTCCCTTTAGGGCCCTCATCTGCCCTATCTGCCCTCCCTTCCTCTCCTCTCCTCTCCTCTCCTCTCCCCACTCCTCTTTCTTTCTATTCCTTTTTTTTTTTTTGAGACAGGGTCTCTGTGTAACAGCTCTGGCTGTCCTGGAATTCACTTTGTAGACCAGGTTGGTCTTGAACTCACCGAGATTCATTTGCCTCTGCTTCCCCTGCTGGGACTAAAGGTGTATGCCACCACGGCCTGTTTTCCTCTTTCTTTTTAAACTTTCATTTCCTTCTCTCCTTCTTCTCTTCTAATTTTCAACAGAGTTTCATGTGGCCCATGCAAGCCTCAGATACTTTGTGCAGCTGAGGGTGAACTTGAACTCTTGATCTGCCTGCCTCTACATCCCAAGTGCTAAGGTTATAGGCATGAATCAACATACCTGGCTTAATAGTGGAGCTCTTAGAGGGGAGACCTCAGAATTTAAATTTCCTTTTTTTTTGGCATTGGATAGTCATAAAGTTATGACTAGGAAAGCATCAAATATTTTTGGTAAATAATATGGTAGCAGTACAGAATTGACTGGAAATTAGAAGCTGGGTAGAGGTAGCCCATTCCCCCCTGCCTCTGCTCACAAACCATAGCCACTTTCATTCTGCCTAGCTGACCTGATTCTGCCTTCTACCTTGCTCTTCCTTCGCACATCTTTCTCCTCTGTTACATTCTCTAGTAAGCAGCAGAAGAATCCTTTACATCCCTGCACTTGTTCCACGATCCTCTGAAACAGGGTTTGCACACACTTCTGTCTGAGAACTTCATGTGTGAGATGCTTAATCCACCAGTCAGCTGCTCAGGAGTTTATTTTTCCTTCTTTGTGATAGTCTGTTGTTAGATGGATGGCTGGTGGCATGGATCGCTGGGTAAGGAAGCTTGGCACCAAGACTGATAATCCAATCTCAGAACCCACAAGGTGGAGGAAAAAAAAAAATCCACTTTTTTTTTTTGTTTTGGTTTTTCGAAACAGGGTTTCTCTGTGTAGCTTTGACACCTTTCCTGGAACTCACTCTGTAGCCCAGGCTAGCCTCGAACTCACAGAGATCCGCCTGCCTCTGCCTCCCAAGTGCTGAGATTAAAGGCGTGCGCCACCACCGCTCAGCCAAGAACCCACTTTTGAGGGTTGTCTTTTGATTTCCACATGTGTGGAATGGCATGTATGTGCCCAGATGCACACACGAATAAATGTACTAAAATATTCTTAATTCATAGAAGTTATTGGTAAATCTAAAACCTTTACATGAATGACAGTTCTGAACACCTTCAGTGAAGTACTCTTTAAAATAACAAGAATATAAGAAACAAACTCACTGACTGATCTAGGAGATGGATACCTAATACAACCCAGGAACAGATACGAGACAACAATGATTTCTATAGTTATGTACAGATTAGCAGACGCCAGCAGGTTAAGATGACAGTGGAGGGCATCCCACACTAAGAGAACAGCTTCTTCCTCGCAGGGGCTAGCATAGCACCTATGCTGTGTGAACAGTAACCAATTCAGGACGTCTGCTGTGTGAGGCACAAGGGTGGCAGAGCAGAGACTGCCACTGTGTTTTCAGGGGCTATGACAACACATACATAGTACATATAGGGAAGTAGAGATCATTTAAGAGACAGCGGAAATCATCAGCTTTGCGTGGTAGGGAATTTATTTGTGCAAGTGTGTTACTGGTTTGTGCAATGGAATGTGTTCTTTGTACTCATGTTTGTAGATTAGTCTTGTACATTGGTGGGACTGGCTACAGTTTACATATAGGGGACATATTAATACAGTGATACTCAAAGTTTTAGCTGTTCTATGCCTCAGCATCTAGCTTAAATCTTCTTACCCATTGTCTTTCTTCCTCCTGTTTCCCCTGATATTACTTCTAAACTGCTTCCACTGCTCTTTCCTTTTTAATTAGCTGCCCCTCCACCCACATTCAATGGTACAGTCCTAATTATCTTTTGTAGCTTTTATTTTTGGTATTTTGATTAATTTGTGACCCACAATTTTCTTTTGGTATTGATTAATTGAAACAATTATGTGGATTTGTGAGGTTTTGTTTGGTCTTTGTTCCAAATTATTATTGTACCAAAGGGCAGCTTTCATTTACTAGGAAAGCACACACCTAAAATCAAGACAGCAAAGAACATTCAAGATGATCAACTTTGTATCTTGGTTGAATGTAAGAACACTTGTGATACTTGATGGGTAACATACATTTTCTTTCACATTGCTGTTCAGGAGGTCTAGGAGTTCTGATTTATAAAGTCAAGAGTAATAAGAACTTTTCTGAGTTACAGACCCTCTTTGAATTTTATTGATTTTCAATGAAGAATTGAGTGGGATGGGACTACAACAAAATTATTTTAATTCTATGATATTCACTGTTTAAGGGCCTCAAATTCCAGAATTTAAAACGGATAATTGGAGCCAGGGTAGTTTATTTTGAGCTTATTTAATTTTAAGGTGCTGTTATTGTTTCCAGAACTCTTAAGAGCTGGAATCTGAGTTGATCAGCACAGACAGTGGCCCCTCCAAAGCTTGTCCCCTCTTTTCCCCTTGGCATAGTAGCTGGACCCTTCTCCACGCTGCTTCTTTATGTGGGGCAGCGCTCCTTTCTGAACTGTTGGAGTCCCAGCTCAGATTGTTTCTTAAACCCTTTCCTGGCAAATTCTCTGATCATCACCCCTGAACTCTTTCCAGTGAAATGAAAAGGTAATTTCCAGTGTGCTTGTCTCCTGTTGCACCCCAGGGGTTCTACAATGTTGTATAGTTCACAGGAAAAACTTCAAAAGATGAGACACAGCTTGGCTGGAGGATGTGAGGGAACAGACATAGATAATACATGACAAGTCACCCCTATTCAGTTCTACTAGTTGGTGTGTATTTCCCATTCTCACAGCAGTCTGATGGCATAGGTGGGACTGTCTGTTCCTATGTTTCAGATAAAAATAAGAAACTCAGAGAGTTTAATTTGGGTTTCCAAACTACCACCACACTCTGGGGGTTGAAAGGCAATGTCATCTCTGTAAACATTTTACCTCAACCTGATGGCCTCCAACCTGAGGGTTCTTTGTATTCAAGATGTTTGCAGTGCAATGAGAGAGTCAATATACTTTCTCAGAAAGCCCTTTTCGAAATCACAACTCCTCCTGTGACTTTTCTGTTTCCTGGTGGGGTTTTGTTTGTTTGTAGTGTGCTAATTCTGTTACTGTGATTACAAAGCCCAGTGTTTCTGAATTCTTCCACTGCTCCACCAATAGATGTTTTTATTGTGTTCACCATTTCCTACTTGAATTGCATTTTCTGCAGTTTTCCACGGCTTCCAGTCATTAATAAACAATTAGCCATACCACTTCCACTTTTTAATTTATTTTAAAAAGTTTGAATTACTATTTTGGGCAGAGTCTCATGTAGCCCAGTCTGGCCTTGTACTTGCTATGTAGCAAAGGATGGCCTTGAACTTCTGATTTTCCTGCTCTCACAAGCATATTCAGTGATTATGGACATGCAACACTACCTCAAATTTGTATGGTACTGGGAACCAAATTCATAGCGTCATACATGGTGTGCAAACACCCCCAAGCTGAGCCCAATTCCCAGCCCCTTTTTCGATTTTCCTACTTAGGCCAGACATTTTTCCTGATTCAGAACCTCATAGTGCTTTTGTTACTTTTAAAACCCAAGCCTGGCCTATGTCCTTATCTTTTATCTCATAGAGTTTAAATATAAATTTTCCATAACTTCCAGATGATTCTACTCTTACTTGGCAGAACCCATCTTGTCTGTGTGCCAAACCCTGTAATAATTGCTGAGATTTCTCTTCAAGGTGCTTCTTAAGGATCACAGCCTCTACAGTCTGCCATGATCTTGACTGTATCTGGCATGTATGGTTCAGGCTATGAACCGGCAGCACACAATCACAGCCTGGTCTGGCTTTAGAAAGGAGTTGAAGTGGAATGGAGTATGCAAAGGCAATACATAATTGAAAAAATCTTGAATCTTTATCTTCCCGTGTTCCCGTTTCTACCTTCTCTCTGACTCGACCAGCTGTTAACCATTTTTTATTTTGACATCACTCCACGCAGACTAATGCATAATATTTTCAATAAGGATCCCACATAAGTTTTAACTTTTATAGATTATCATGCAGTATATGAATATGGTGACATTTACTTTGTATTTTTGATTTTTCCACTGTGAGCCCACCAGTCATTTTTTTTAGTAGGAAAATGACATACAGAGACAAGGGAAAATCACCATAGAAGAGTTTAGAGCCATTTATCGGTGTATTGCCCACAGAGAAGAAATCATTGAGATTTTCAACACGTATTCTGAAAACCGGAAAATTCTTTCTGAAAAAAGTCTGACTGAATTTTTAACTCGAGAGCAGTATGAACTGGAGTTAAATTACCCCATTTCAACCGAGATCATCCAAAAGTATGAGCCCATTGACGAAGGTAAGATTACAGTTAAAACCTATCAGTATATTAGTATGTAAAGTGCTTTTGTAAATTAAGATCATCAAATTAAAATTTTGGGAATGGATGAGCTTCTAGGAAGTATAAATTTTGCTTTTGTGTTTATATATCCAATGTATTTTTTAAGCTATAATGTGCAACAATGACATTCATCCCTACTCTGTTGGCTAGATTCCTTCTTTGAACTGAACTTCGGAAGTGTTCAGATCCTTTACTGTAGAAGCAAGATGACAGTTCTATTACCTGTGCCTGTAAAGAAAAGTATCTTGAAGGACCATTGAGATGGCCCAGCTGGTAATGAAACTTGCTGCCAAGCCTGATGACCTGTGGTTGATCCCAGAACCCACATAGTGGAAGGAGAGAATTAACTTTTGCAAGATGTTTTCGAACTTCCACATTTGTACCATGACACGAGCACGCACGCTCGCGCGTGCGCGAGCGCACACACACACACATACACACACATACACATATGCAAACACATGCGCATATACATACACATGCACAGACACACATACACTCTAAAGTAATATATACATACAGACACATGCATATATTTTAAAAATGTCTTAATCTCATGGATATGATGAAGACAAAATCAAAATAAAACAAAATTATAGGCAGCCTGCCATTTTATGCATTGTTCTATTTAAATATGTTTAAGTAAGAAACGATGGGCATGTGAAATGAGTATGTGAGAATTAAATGAAAACAGATGTACAAAGTCATGGTCTCCCTTTTTATCTACTGTCTTGTGTACAGAGATGCTGCCTTTCCACCACTGTACCCCACCCCCGAGATGATCAGCTTGTAACAAGAAGAGACTGACGTTGACCCATGTTTTTAGAGGTCTCAACCCATGACTGTCCCTGCTGCTCCACACCTGTGGCAAGTCAGTGTGTCACAGAGAGAGAGTGTGTGTCAGGGAGTGTGTGGCAGTGTGCTTATGATGTGGCATGAGTTCACATACACAGCTGCCTTGTGGTGCCTGGGAAATAGTCTTTTCTTGACGTCATCTACTACCCCTGGCTCTGACAGTCTTTCCTTCATTTCTTTTTCAATGATCCCTGAGCCTTATGGGCACTGGTGTGGCATAGAGGTGCCATTTAGCACTGTGCAGTTCCACAATGTTTCATTCTTTGCATCTTGACCAGTTGAGGGTCTCTGTGTTGACTGGATCTTACTTCAAGGAGAATCTTCCCTCATGAGGGTGATTAGAACTTGAGGCATGAGGGAGAGGCGAGTTTCACAGACAGGCGGAGGTAAATCACAGAGAACCTTCTAGGCCAGAGTTAGGGCTGGAGCTTCAGGACAGCATTAAGCATGTCAGGAGGACTGTGCCCACTTGGTTGCTGACATGATGAAGTACAGTGCTAGTCATAGCTTGGCCTGAACACTGTTGACCTTTGTTGGCTTTGCAAAAACATAAAGAACTTGCACCAGTATGTGACGCAGCTAACAGTCAAGTCACCAATACTAGCTGGTAAGCTCAGCTGACCTTTTCTTCTTTTAATAACAGGCTCTCCCTAAGGATGTTGTGAGTTGATGGATGGTCTGGCTATTGCTCTTTATGTAGCTGTTGTTTAGGAACAGTCATTTGCAATGAGTCCTTTCAGAAGCATTGACTTAGTAAACATTATAAAAAAAAAAGTCACACTGGCACTCTTATCTCTGGGTGGCATATTAAATATACAAAAGGATGGTGATTGGCACTGTGGAGTTGTGTTTTCATTTTAATTTGGGCACTGCATTGTTCTCCCTTCCATCTTTTGAAGTTCTACCTATCATAGACACTGTAATATGAAATCAAGTCTACATTATCAATATAATTGTTGATCACTTTTTAGTCTTAAAAGTCAGTGTAATTCAAAATCTTATAGTCCTCAATGCTGCTGAACTCCCTGATCTTGTCTCATGTCTGCATGTCATATGTACCACAACCCTTGAGATTAATTTTCATCATAATCTGGTAATTTTAGAAAGTATTTGTAATATCTTCTGTGTGTGTGTGTGTGTGTGTGTGAGAGAGAGAGAGAGAGAGAGAGAGAGAGAGA